ACCCTCAGCATCGCCGCCGCCAGTGCTCCCGGGCCTCGGCGGCCGCCCCGCACCCTCACTGGTCCTTACTGGTGCGGGGGGGGGCTGTTTCCGTCTAGCAGGTACTACGTAGGCAGGCTGCAGGTGGGACGTGTCCCAGGGGTCGTCTTTGGGGAACACGTGGAGCCTTGGCCTTGTCAAGGTCAAGTGTGGCAGCGCCTTGTCTGTCAGGCTGCAGGACCAGAGCACATCGTAGCCCGGCAGACCCCGTAAGACGCCGTGGTCACACGGCTCCGGGGCCCGGGCCTCTCCCTGTCCTCTGATCCCCAAGTCCTGTGCTCAGTACCCGGCCGGCCCACGACTCAGCTCACACACCGGGCAGGTTCCTGGGCCCCTGGGCAGGAGGAGGGGGCGGGCCCCCTCACAAAGGGGTTTCATTTCAGGCAGGAAGAGAAGAAAATGTTTACTACTGCACCTTCAATTATATGTTTTCTTTCTATTTTGGGGGATTGGGTCAGTGTCTTTCTTCTGATTAGTTGCCTGTTCTCTCATTTTCTCTTGCTCCCACGCGGTTGATTTATTTAAAGGTGTGTCAGCACGGAGCTCAAATGAGGAGCTGGGCCTCCTCCTTTCTGCTGACGGCCGGCCATGCCAATAAGTCATTTTTTAGCTCATTAGCTAACAGAGGCTGTGAGCAGCGGGCCTCCAGGGGATTGGGATGAGGTGAAGTGATCTGTTGCTAGCCACGCTGCTCTTGAACTGGCCTTCCTTGGGGAAAATGAAAGGCTCGGCCAAGACAAGCGGGGGATCCCACAAGTGAGACTGGGACATCAGAGTAACAATTAGCGTATTTGTGCTTTGGCATCCTGGTTTCTGGGGGCAAATGGTTTAGAATATTCTCGTAGCAAAGAAGTCATTACCAGAGTGTCCGTCTTTCATGTATTAACTGTGGGCACGGAAGCCAGATGACAGTGATGGAGACTGTGGTTGTCCAGGATGTTAGTCGGACTGGGCTGCCCGAACGGAGGACCATAGAGCAGGTGGCTGTAATGACGGAGATGTATTTTCTCACAGCTCTGGGGGCCGCAAGGTCAAGGTCAAGGTGCCAGGGTTGGTTTCCGGTGAGAGCTCTTCTTGGCTTGCAGAGGGTGCCGTCACACGGACGGAGATCCCTGTGTCTCTTCCTCATCTCGTAAGGACACCGGTCCCAGTGGAGTAGGGCCCCACTTTTATGATTTCACTGAACCTCAGTGGCCTCCTTAGAGTCCTGGTCTCCAAATGCGGACACATCAGGGTTAGGGCTTCGGCATATGAATTTGGGGGGACACAGTTCAGTCCGTAGCACCCAGGAAGACATCAGACATCTCAAGGCTGTGGACGGGGGCTAACCATGCTTGGCCCCAGACACCCTGACAGCCACGGGGTCCTTCACACCAGCCGGGCACCCCTGGCCCAGCGTCCCAAGCCCCTCTACCCGTGGTAGGTTGTGGGGGAGTCACAGGGCGCCGATGGGTTTGTCAGGGCCCGTGGCCAAGGGCCCCCACCTCACCCTGCCCAGCGCATTGACAGCCCGGATTTGACCCCCACGGGCCCCCGTGCCATCGGCCCCCCTTTGTCCCACGTGTCACCCCCATGGGTGAGCTCCCAGATGCTCGATAGCAGCTGTGCATCATTAGAGACTCTCTACGGCTCCATCGTGACGGCACCAACAGCCCCGACTTCTGGCCAGCGCACCCTCCAAACAGGCGGCCTCGGCCCTGCGCCCGCCCTGCTGCAGTCGTCACTTACCCCCTTTACAGACGAGGCAACAGGGCCCAGGGGGTCCCTGAAGGTGTGGAAGTCCACACTGCGAGGGGGAGGAACAAGGCAGGCACATAGACGCCACGTCTCCATTAACGAAAACCAGGGCCCTGCAGTCCTGGCGGTTCTCTTGTCCCGCCCTTGGCCACTGTGGAAAGCGCCCAGGGCGAAGGTTACCCCCTCCGTTGCCAGGGTGCGCGGTGACCAGGGGACCTGGGTTCTAGATAACGGCTTCCTGAATTAGCAAGACCCACATGCCCTTGTCGGAGCTCCCCGCTCCTACAAGCTGCCGTGCGCCTGGGGCAGGCACGAAGCCCTTAGCCTTCTGGTCCCTCTTCGTCTCAGAAAAACACTGGCGCCCTGCAATCCTGCGGGGCCCAGGAGCCAGCGTGGGAAGCTTCTGTTTTTGAACGGCAAAGAAGTCTTGGTGAAGAGCCCTGGTTCCACCACACGACAAAAGCCACACGTTAAAACAGCTCTGGGGGGACCAGGTGGAGTGGGGCTGGAAGAGGCGGTCCCCATCAGGTCCTTGCAGTGCTCCTTCGGGGACGGCCCCCTGTAGCAAGCCTGTTCCCTGTGTTTGAGTTGGTGGAGGTTCTGAAACCCTATTGGTAATAGTCACCTCGCTGCAGCTCTGCGGGGTCGCAGGTGGACCAGCCGTGAAGAAGAGTTCAAGCCTTGGGCCTTCCCTTGCAGGAGCCCTCTCCAAAAGCCTGTTCCTAATTTCACACACATAACATTAGAGTCTTCCTCCTGAAGAAGCTCCCAAGATAGTATTCAGCTCCCTAAAATCTGCATCCGTCCTTGTGACGTATTGTAAACAGCACCAACTTTGAAAAGCGAGGAACAGTTTAATAAACAGAACAATTGTTGAGACACGTGTCAATTTCCATGAAGCCAGGTGAGCTTGTTTGTGGGGTGACCCGACCCCAGTCCAGAAAGGCACCCTCACTTCCCTGGGAGAACACGCCGGCCGCCAGACGGGGCTCAGAAGCTGCGGGCTGTCCTGTCTTAGGCTGGAGCATCCGAATATTAAAAAGAGAATTGGATAATTACAGTGAGGATGATAGTTACCATGTTCGGTTCTCTGTTTTATCCCTGGGTGATTTGGCAATGCGCATTAAAATCCAGCAGAGCAGAATAAAACAGTTCTGATTTTAATGCCTACCCCCAAAAACGAGAGTTAGCAAACTGGAACTTGAAAATCTGGACGCATCCTTCCCCACTGTCCCTTTTCATTGCATTCACGTTTTGCTCCTTCTCTTTGGTGATTTATGAAATGCATCAACGTATGTTAAATACATTTTAAATAAGGTTTTTTTAAATACCATGAGAAACACGATTTGTTTGGAGCATTCTTTCTCCTGCCCGTTGCTTTTGTGCTTGTATTTTGTCCCAAGTAGGGACAGGGACAGGGTGCAGGCTGCCTCCCGCCACAGAGTCCCCAGTGGGGTGTGGGTGTGGGGTGGGTTCTCAGCTGTAGCCGAGTGTTTGTCCTGGAAATCTCCCCATGAAAAGGGTCGGGGGTCACTGTGGGGTCGCTCGCATGTACCAGGAAGTGAAGCAAAACTAATCCAGATTTACTCCTGGAAGAATTTGTTTGCCTAAGTATTTAAAAACAGATTAGGGCTAACCCGACACTAGATCACTAGGCGCAATGTAAACACGGGTAAAAGGTGTAAACAAGGCCTTTCTTCTGTACTTCGGAAGGAAAAATGTCACGGTTAATGAGTTTTCTTTCTAGAGTATCGAGGAGGCCCTAAGTGATTCTCTGTGTGGTGTGTAGCTATGTACCCTGATTCTTCTCCCGGGGGCGGGGAGATGCTGGATTTTAGGAGGGGGCAGTGGTGAAGCAGTGTGTTATTTAAGTCTCGGTAATGACAGTCACTCTGCTCTGCAGGGCTGTCCTTTCATCTCTCATCGTCCTCATCAAAAAGCATCTGTCCGGCTAGCGGCGCCCCACCCGCCCCCACCCCGGCGCGCTCGCCCCCCCAGACTTGCACGCCCCCCAGACTCGCTCGCCTCCAGAGCTACTAGTGAAATCCCCCTTTGGGCTCCTGCCCTTCCTCTTTGCCCCAGGCGAGCTGCAGAGCTGCGAGGATTCCTGAGGTGTTTTCAGTGTCTCTCGCACCCCGTTTTGAGAAACCAAAACCCACGAACACACCTTGCAGTTGGTTTCTTCCTTTCTCTCTCTACCTTCTCTTCCCATTCTGCCCCCTCCTCTTTATGCCCAGCCCTCCTGCCAGATGTCATAGGCAGCATCCTGTCCCACTTGGACCCCTCTTCCCCCAGTTCAGGAGGCCTGTTCCTAGCAGGCCGCAGCTCCTGGGGGAGGGGCACCCGCTGCAGCTCGTTGCCGTCTGTGTCCCCAAGCCCTTGCCCTCTCCTCCCTGGTGTCATCCCCTCCTGCACCCTTAGCTCAGCTCTGGCCCCAGGCCCCCTGCCTTGTCTCCTGGGCTGGACCCCCAAACACCTTGATGCTCTCCACTTCAGCCTTCCTCAGGTCTCCAGAGATTTCAAAACCCAGTCGTAACTGAGTTAGTTTGCTTGTCTTTGCCAGACCTCCCCATTGGGGTCTCTGTGGCTTCAAACGTGGGCCTGTAACAAGATGTTCCTTAACTGAAGCATTGGGGGACCCCAGGGAGTTCACACACTCCCTGCCCGGATGAGGAGTTAAGAGCTAAGAGTTCCAGGTCACACCCAGGTGGGGGGAGCCCACTGGCCATCCGGTCCCCTGGCCTGAGCTCCAGCAGGGTCCTCTAATCCCAACCAGAAGTTGTCATTGCTTACAGTAGAGCGGGCCTCCGGGCCGTCCTGCCTTGCGTCGGACCTCGGGCAGGAAGGGGGTTCCTCTGGCCACGGCTTCTGCACAAAAACCAAAAGAAATCACATGAGAACTTAAGGCCATGGGCCTCTGTGCACACCTTCAGGCGTCAGAAACCCCCCTCCCCGAGAGGTTCTGATTCAGGAGGTCAGGGGCAGAGCCTGGGGATCTGCATTTCTAACAAGTTTCCAGGTGGTGCTGATGCTGCTGGGCCGGGACCCCGATCTGGGAAACATGTCCCTCAGGGGGCTTCCTTGTGCTCTGTGAGGACACTCCTCTCCCACTATTGCATTTCTGCCCTGAGGCCTCCGGACCACCAAGGTTCTGGAGCAGAGGGGGGTGTCGGCCCCGGTTGTCCTTCCTGACGGTGATCGCGCCTGTGTGGTGGCCCTTGCAGGGAAGAGAAGGAGCGGTGGATCCGGGCCAAGTACGAGCAGAAGCTCTTCCTGGCGCCGCTGCCCTGCACAGAGCTGTCCCTGGGCCAGCACCTGCTGCGGGCCACCGCCGACGAGGACCTGCGGGCCGTCATCCTGCTGCTGGCGCACGGCTCCCGGGAGGAGGTGAACGAGACCTGCGGAGAGGGGGACGGCCGCACAGCGCTGCACCTGGCCTGCCGGAAGGGGAACGTGGTCCTGGCGCAGCTCCTGATCTGGGTAGGTCACCCAGGGGCCGCGCACCGTGCTGAGATGCCGGGGGGCGCCTTGTTCTGCTCTGCGGGCATCTTCCCTGTGGAGGGTCACAGGTCTGAAGGTGGGAAGCGATGCGGGCAGGGCATGGGGGATTTCGGTGTGGAGGCCCCCGGCTCTCAGGCTCCCGTGCCTGAGGACCCCCCTGAGGACTGAGTAAAGGGAGGGAGGAGGTGAGCGGGACACGCTCTGCCCGCCAGGGGCCAGGGTGTCTGCAGAGTTCGTGTTTCTCATGACCCCTCTGGCTCAAGCGTGGCTGGAGGTGTCCCTCTTGTTCCTTTTACAACAGACTCCCAGCATCTTTGTTTTGGAGCGGGGTGGAGAGCGAGGACACAGCTAGTTTATGTGGTTTTGCCTTGGCCAGACACAAAAATACTGGACCCAGAGTTCGATGTTTGATATGGTAGGACTTTACCAAAGGGCTTCTTCTAGACTGTTCTGGTTAACTTCTTTTTTTTTTTTTTTTTTAAGATTTTATTTATTTATTTGACAGAGAGAGACATAGCGAGAGAGGGAACACAAGCAAGGGGAATCGGAGAGGGAGAAGCAGGCTTTCCGCTGAGCAGGGAGCCCGACGCGGGGCTCGATCCCAGGACCCTGGGATCATGACCTGAGCTGAAGGCAGACGCTTAACGACTGAGCCGCCCAGGCGCCCTGTTCTGGTTAACTTCTACTAGGGAAAATTATTTCTTCAATTTCTATGGAAGCATTTGTCATAAAGCCTGAATGGGGACAGGGAAGGGAGAGTGTGCAGAGCAGGGCACAGCCTGGGCCACAGGGGGCAGCCTGCACACCTCTGGGGCTCGCCCACTGCGGGTCCCCATGGAAGGTGGCAGAGAGCTGGTGCTGCGAGGTGCCTGGCGGGCGCGGAGGGAAGCACTTGCCAGCGGTCGGAACAAATCGCACGGTAGTAGCTGACTTTCCTGTGCTCTTACGTGTTACATGTGTATTTCCTACAAGGGAAAGGAATCACCTCTGAGATCAAGAAGTGATTATTTTTTGTTTTTATAATTGGAAAGTCAGAATAGAAATAGCAACACGAGAATTATCCTGGGTCTGCTGCAGAAAGGAGGGGCTTTTACTTGTAAAGAGCACATTATTTTTTTTAAAGGTTTTGTTTATTAGAGAGCGAGCATGAGCAGGAGGGTAGGGGCAGAGGGAGAGGGAGAAGCAGGCTCCCCGTGGAGCAGGGAGCCCGGTGCGGGGCTCGATCCCAGGACCCCGGGATCATGACCTGAGCCGAAGGCAGGCGCGCTCGACCGACTGAGCCACCCGGGCGGCCCGAAAAGCACATTCTTTCAAAGAGCACGCCGTGGGGCGGGTTGTGGCACCGGCCATCTGCCTGCCCTCCGGCTCATCTGTAGCCCGGCCCCGGGGGTCCGTGTCCCTGCCCGAGCTGCGCCGCCCCCCACCGGGGTCCTAACGGCCCTCTGTTGCCTCCGCAGTACGGGGTGGACGTCATGGCGCGGGACGCCCACGGGAACACGGCGCTGGCGTACGCGCGGCAGGCCTCCAGCCAGGAGTGCACCGACGTCCTGCTGCAGTACGGCTGCCCCGACGAGCGCTTCGTGCTCATGGCCACGCCCAACCTGTCCCGGAAGAACAATAACCGCAACAACAGCAGCGGGAGGGTGCCCACCGTCATCTGAGGGCCGCGCGCCCACCCGCCCGCTGCACCCGGGCGCCCTCTCTCGCGGAAGTCACGACACGTGAGTCCCGTCCGTCCCCGCCCTCTTCCTGGTGGTCACCCGCCCTCCCCCCACGCGGAGTCACAAGACCTGACTGTCCTCGTGGGGCGAAGAGGAGGCCAGGAGGCTGCCCAGCAGATTCCTTTTCATAAACTGCCCTAACGACAAGCAGGAGCGCCCGGTGGGCCTTGGTTTGCCGACGATAGCACACGGCGAGGGACCCCCTGCCCCCGTCCGTCCGCGGCCTGGAGACACGGAGCGCGGCGCGAGGGACGGGGACGAGAGGGGGAGGGGAGGCGAGGAGCAAGGAGAAGGGTACCTCTCCTTAACTGGCAGTTAAGCACATCAGTACATTTCACCTCTACCAGACGGAACACTCGATTTCATCTCCTCTCCGAGGAGCTTGACGGCATAAATCAGAAGCAAGCAGAGTTTGTCAGGTTTGAAGCCCCTATGATGGTATGTGTCAAATCAGTTGTAGCTAATCTGTCCACGGAGAATACCGGCTTCATTACACTTGTATAGTTGAGTTCTTCCAGCATTACCGCTGTTTAATAGAACATGATTAGTCATCACCGAGAAGAAAGCATATTAGCCGAGGAGGTAGTTACGCAGCACGCTCTGATGATTGCCACGATGTGATTGCAATACTTCTTAGAAGCATCATATTATCCCAGACATGTTCTTTCGAGCCCTTGGAGCCCTCCTTTCTAAATTCACTGTCATAATTTAGTATCTGTTTAATTTTTCAGTCCAAAGAGAGGGAATCAGTTGCTGAGTATCATTTGACTGGAGTCTCCTTGGTGCAAAAACAAAATGGAAAAAATAAATAAGAGTAAGTCAGAAATTCAAAAGGAAATCACGAATTCAAGCTAATAACATTTTGAGGCCATGTAGTAAACTCAGTAAAGGCATAAAAGGCTATTCCCCATCCCCCCAACCTAAGAGATATTTTACTTCCTTTTGCCAAGGTGGATGTCTTGGGTCTCGGTCACTGCCAGGCCACACCGGAGTGTCCCACAGGCTTCTGTGTCATGTCTTTAGCTAAGATTGTGAAAATCTATTTGAATAAAAGAAGTTCATAAATATGCATTGATTTTTGTACAGACAAATGGCACCTCTGTTAATTTATAAATTGAACTGGATGTGAACTAATAACGTGCAACTAGTTGAGATAAGAGGGTTACAGATCATTGTACATGGAAAGCGCTCCCAGCAGCAAACACTTCCATTACTGTGATCGACAGCTTTGAAAAAGGAACCTACCCGAAGAAGATGGTGGTACAGTTTGCTTATTAAAATCGAGAAAGAAAAAGAAGACCCTTAGATCCTATGAGAGAAGAGGGGATGGGGAGAAGGCATGTGATTTCGCATTATTTAGATCTGATGCCGCTTCTGCCAGCCTGGAGGAAGGGGCCGTGGGGAAGCCGGGGATGAGTTTCTGAGTCCCGGCCCCGGGAGCTGGGCAGAGGCAGGCCATGACCGGCCACCCACAGCTCGGGGGCACCGGCTGGCCCGCGGGCATCGCTAACACTTCCCTGGGCGGCCAGGCCCTCCATCTCCTTTACTTGGTCACCTGACCTGCCGTCCCCGAGGTGTGGGGCGGCTTCAGACTTCCGCCGCCTTCAGCGTGGTGGCCAAATGCAGTAAAAACCAGATCGAGACACCTTAGGTTAAAAAGGAAGGGGTGGGCCGTGCCTGGAGCCCTTTAACTAAAGTCCGAGCGAGAAGAGGGTCGTCCCCCTGGCAGGCGACCCTGGCCCTGCAGCCGCACAGGAACAGGGCCACGTCCGCCCGGCCACGTCTGCCCGGCAGCCTCCAGGCAGGTCCCTTACTCTCCTACATTAAACCTTCTATTTTGTAAGTTTTTCCTCTTCTTTCACTTTTTAAGAAAAAAAAAAATTTAAGTAGGTGGGGAAAAAATAAAGCTTTACGCAGAATTTATATGTGGGTCAGTGTTTCATGGACATTTGTAACCTTGATTCCGCTGCGTGGAAGCCAGGAGGCTCCGGGAACAGCATGTGCAGAAGCCGCGAGGCTGAGAGCCTTGACAACAGGTCCCTAATCCTCCCTCCCCGCCCCCACCCCCACCGCCACGATTTTTAATTCTGTGTTTCATCACTGTGTAGTTATTTTAAATGTGAATAGGAAAAAAAATGTCTGCCTATTTTTGAAGAACGCGTTACTGTTCTAATCCAGCTATCCACATTCGCCTCCGCACAGCCTTTAGCATAGACTTTATGTAGTGAACGCAGATATAGTATAAATGATATTCTTAAATTATTTCACTGTAGTTAATTCCCACTATAGGAATGCTCTATCATATAGCGAAGCCTTGTTTTGAAAAGAAACGGAATTCCTTGTAAGGCTTCTCTTTGAGATGTATATGAGTGTGTACATATTATTATATGTGTTTATAATATAATATTTTCCCAAATGACTTCTTTTTTCACTTAGCCTTTCACGACCTGAATGCCAGATTGGTTTGGGGGGGTTTTTTTGTTTTTGTTTTTGTTTTTTCTCCCTTCACTCTCTCCGACACGGGGACTTCATTGATTCCTTCTCAGAAAACTTGACCCCTCTTCCGCTATTTTTAGCAATGTTGATCTGTGCCAGGAGGCGGCCAGCCTTCCTGAGCCTGAGTTTGGGCAGCAGGGCAGGGGCGGTGGTGGGTGTCAAGGGTTTTCCTCGAAAATAAAGGTGGCTGGTGGCCGATCTGCCTGTATTTCAGCGTCACACCAGAAGGCCTTTCTTCACCGGCAGAATGCTCTCATCCTTAAAGCCTTGCTAACGCTCAGGCAGGGAAGCAAAGAGCCACAAGGGCTGGTGTTAGAAATGACCAGCTCAGGAAGGCGGCCAAGTTGTCACTGTCTGCTCCCACGGAAGACACCACTGCATCATCCTCGTAGCCTTTTCTCTTCAGAAGTAAATGCCCCTGAACTTGACACCACCTGCTGGGGTAGGGTAGGCAGAGGTGCACGTGGGCACCGGGGAGGGTAGCTTCCCCATCTGGCCGGATTCCTTCTGTTGGCCACAGAAGCCCTGCAGAGGAAGGAGCCTCGATTCTGATCCTGTGAGAGCAGACTCCCAGGTCTGGTAAGAAGATGGCTCACCAAGCCCAGAGCCCCAGTCATGGGGCCCCGGCCCCTCCTGTCTCCTGTCATCCCAGGAGATGAGCAGCTCGAGGGTGAGTGAGTGACATGTTCATGAGTCTTGGGCCCCATGAGCAGGCGCGGTTCCATGTCTCCCTGTAAGAGCACGCTGTGTGACTATCCCAGAGAGCAAGGGAAGGCAGTGGGGTGCTTGCTGATCCCAGGGCTGTGGAGGGCTCTTGTTGGATTACTCTTGACCAGAATCCTAAAAGGAGCCCATTCTCTGCCCGTGAGCCTGGGCACCGAGGCAGGGCCTTGCTGTTCCGCCTGTCTTTTGAAGTTTTGTCTAGCCTGGTGAGGTCGGCTTACACCCAGCCTCTGCCATCTGGCCTCAGGACCAGTCTTCCCAGTTTCATAACATCTGCACCCTCCCAGGGTCATTCTCTCCATCTGTGAAGGAGCGGTCACTGACTTGATGAGGGGAGAACAGGATCCAGTGATGAGAAGGACGGCCCTGGGGCTGAGCAGACGCGGCCTCGGCTTTGCGGCCCCTCCTGGGTGGCCCTGGCCAGGTACCCAGCTTTGGGGCGCTCTTTCCTCAGCTGTGAAACTGGGGGGGTGGCCTTGCAGCATCCGATGACCGGTTGGTTTCCAATCGGTGTGATCGCTGCCAACCAGACACCCCGCCAGGGCTAGATGCTCAGGAAATGGGAGTGTTCATTAAGAACAGAAATGCTGACGGCCCCAAAGCCAGAGCGCCTGCCTGGAGAGCTTGCTTCCTCAAGCCGGCGCCCTGGGGAGCCCGGGACAACATGCTCGCCAGCCCCCCTCCCCTCTGCTGAGCCAGCAGGGCCCTCCCCGACCCCCGTGGGCGGGAAGCAGTGTCAGAGGAGGGGTGAGGCTCTCTGTGAGCCCCGACGCCCACAGAGCCCCGCTCCCAAGGGGTGAGCCACACTGCCCACTTCCTGGCGTTTATCCCCGATTTTTGTAGTCTGAGTTTGCTTTCCCGGAGGCAAAGGAAAGGTTGAGTCTTACCCTCATGCATTCACTAAGGTCACTTGAGGCCCAAGAAAACCCCTTCTGTCCGACACCCTGTTGGGTTGTTGGCTCAGACAGGCCTCCCACTCTTCAGAAGCCACCAGGAAGCTGCTGTCCACACTGGGTGCTGAGCTTGCTGAAGAGCACGCTTTACTGGCAGACCTCTGGGCCCTGCGGCCTCTTGCTTGGCATGGACGGTTGCACAGTGAGCAAGCACCGCGCTGAGCTACTCTCCCTTCTGAGGCTGGCGCTCGGCTTGTCTTGCGCCTGCGCTTGGTGGACGCATCCTCCCCCCTCGGCGGCGGCCATTGGGTCCTGCCCGGCCCCCAGCCCAAGCTGTGCTCCAGGGTGACATGGGTCACCGTGACTCCAGCTCTGCCATCCCTTCCTCCTCGCATTTAGAAGGTTCTGGAAATAAATCCACATTGCCACCTAGGGAGGTTCAGAAGCCTTGCACCAATGTAGAGCTTCTACAAGTAAGTGTGATCTAGGCTCCCAAACTTCTCAAAAGGCAAAGATAATGGGCAAGCAAATCCATTATCCCTCCATGGGCTGTTTCCCCCTCCCCCACCTGCTCTATTTCCATCCCTCACGCGCCCCACAAGGTCGGCATGACTTTCTAGAACTCCCCTGGATTGTATTTATGTCCTTCAAGCAAACAAATTGAAAAGCAGTCAGGAAGGAATTCAAATAGAAATATGCTGAAGATACACATCTTTCTTTCCCAGGAAATACAATTTATTTCTAACTGCCTCCTCAAACGTGGGCTTCACACACTGTGAAGTACTGTCTTCAAGTGATTTTCACCCTCATCCTTCACCAAAAAGCTAAATAAGGGCCTTTGGCATCCAGACTTGGATTTTTTCACTTTGGGCCATTATCGACACGTTGCTTTTTTGAATTCCCAAGCGGCTTTCTTCTGGAAGCCTGTGGTCAGTGAGTCTTTGGTGTGGGCCCCACCCCTGCTGTGGCCCGGCCAGGCCCCCCAGGTGTGTGGCTCACGGGGGCAGGAGTCTGGCTTCTCCACCTGGCCCACTGAGGGGTGGGGTGGGCTCCCTGCCCTGCTCCGTGCCCTGCACCCTGATGGGTCCTTCGTGGTTCAAGCATCTCAATCAGGTCGCCTTTCAGTCAAAACGTTGAATTGCTTCATTACTCAGAAGAGAGAAGGAGTGGGTCAGTCCCTCGAGCAGACAGGAACAGCGTCAGGCTTTTATTTCCACCGCGGCCCAGAGTGATCCCTGGAAGCCAGAACGGCCAGGCGGCTGGGGAGGAGAGAGCATCCGTGCGGCTCAGGGTCAGCAGGCCCCCGCCGGGCCCTCCCCTCCCCCCCTCCAGGAAGAAGGGACAGGTGACAGCTTAGAACTCGTATTTCAAAAACACAGATGTTCTTCCCCTTAGAGGAGAAAGGCTGTCCTTACAGAGTTTTTTTTTAAGCAATATTAATGGATTCCCCATTTCATTTCTGATGTCTGCTGCTTTTTGAGCACAGAGTGATGCTTCTTCCCAGTTCCAGTGTTTTGGTGTGGGCCAGAGTGGGAGGTAGGGACATTTCATCAGCACGGGATTCCGTGAGACCACAAGGTCTGGGTTTTAGTCCGTGATTTTTAAAATGCCCAAGTTCTAGAAGTAATTCAATTTCATCGGTGTGGGAAACATCCTCCCAAAGTAAGGATTCAGGACCGCAGATTTGAAAGCCTCTCCTTTCCGCATTTCATTTGGGGCCGGGGGCTGGTTTTGCTCTCAGAGGACGGCATTGGTTTCTGGGGCTCGCACCTGGTTGGTAAAAACGCCCTTGTCCGAGGCCTCATCCCGTGCAAAGGGCCTGCGGTGCCCGGAGGCGGGCAGGGTGAGGCAGGCATGCCCAGCAGTGACCCTCCGTGAGCCGCTCCTGCCAAGCGGACAGACAAGCTAGGGGTCTGGCCAGGTGTCACCCGGCGGCTGCGGGGCCCATGCGGGGCAAGCCACCTTCATCGGGGTGCAACAGGTCAGCTCGGGGCTTGTGTTTCATGGGCCAGGTGTGTGGCTTCTGCAGAGAATGCCCCCTGGGGGTCATGATGGTGCCGTAGGATAGAAACTCGCCTGTCAAAGCCAAGTGAGGTCTAGTCTAGAATTCAGTCAGTGGGAATTCCGCGTCCTTCATCTTGAGACGCAGGTGAAAGAAAGGAACCATCCTAGATGTAAGAGCTTTGGGGAATCTTCCAAACGGAGCAACCAGGTGTTAGGAGCAGCCGCCCCCAAATCAGAGTGTGCCCTGATCTCCCCGTGCCAGATGGTGTCCACGATGGCCCGGGAAGCGAATATCTGAGTTGGCCCAGACTCGAGTAACAGGATGTGGCACCCACCCCTAGAAGCTCACGTAGTCGGTGATGCCCCGGGTAAGCTGGTGAGTGTCCAGGCTTGACGAAGGACGTCGAAGGGCTTTCCACCCCTTGTCTAGCGCCCGGATGTAGAGAGCCTGAGTGACCGGCCTCTTTCAAAGACCCTGGGGGCAGCCCAGCTGATGACCACTGCACCTAGCTCTGCAGCTGACATTCCACTGAGTGGCCTGGGGGAAAGGGTCATCCTGCCTGGGCTCTTGGAGGGTCAGAGGACAGAGGGGCCCAAGGGTGCATGAGCTGGAGCCCGAGCGGGGAGTTAGCCCTCACTGACCGCTCCCAGGAGCACATCACGCCCTCCCCGTCCCGCCCCAGGGCGCACGGGCAGACCTGAGTGAGGATCGGGCTGTTCATGGTGCACAGGCGATGGGTCTGTTTAGAAACTGTTCTACGGCACATCGCACGTCTCGAGGTTAGAAATAATGCCTTCTCCAAACCCTGAAAAACCTCAGCGGTGTCCTCCTCCAACTGGGCTTTTGTCTGAAATATATCAAACTCTTGAGGCCGCAACCGCTGTCCTGATCTGAGCACCCATGTGCTGGGGGGAGGCCGTGTGGCCTTGACCAAGGGCACGGCACTGCACAAAGCCTTGGGAGCCACGAGCTGGCTGCCCTGGGAAGGGCTGGAGGAGTTGGCCGCTCCAGCCCCAGGCACGGCCACACGGGTTCCGAGAGCGCTTCCTGCCCCCAGACAGCCCCCCACTCTCCTGCCCGTGACCTTGAACGGGGTACTCGTGGGGTCAGGGGTGTGTTTCTGAACGGGAGCCCGAGCAGGTCAGAGGTGACCCCCGAGAGGCGTTTCTCAGAATAGGGACGGCCGAGTCTCTGCCCACCTCTCAGCACGTTTTTCTGTTTCTGTAAATAACAATGTATAGAAGATGGAAGAGTGGCCCGGGGTTTATCCAGAGATGGGTTTGGTTTCTTTGGGGGTTTTTTTGGTCGTTTTTATATTACCTCATTCAGCAAGTTTGTTTCACAATGACTCAATGATGCTTTATTTATATTGTTTGTACTGTAATTAAGACCATTGACAGACATTTCACTTTGCTTATTATTTCATATGATTTTGTTTTGATTAAATATGCCGGTTTGTATTTTCCTGCATTGGGATTTTTTTTGTGTCCGCTGTACAGTATTCTAAGGGGGAAAAAAGAGCAAAAGAAAAATGTGTAAAGTAAAGGAGAGAGGTGGCTATAGGATAGAGGCCTCTTTCTAATAAAGAAATGAAAATCCGTCTACACCGCTTCCGTGGAGGTTTTGTGGGGGGGCTTGGGGGCGGGGCCTGTGGGTCACTGGTCACGACTGATTGGGTGTGTGCGCTCCGGCAAGGTGAATCAGAGAGGAGCAGTGCTTACAGAAGGCAGGCGCTAGGCCCAGGCCACCTCTCTCGAGAGGAAATCCATGCACACACTGCTGTAGTCACAGCGTCAGGATGATAAGGAACATCTCTTCCCACTTGTTCATCTCCAAGCCACTCCGAGGGGCCATGGCTCCCCAGCCAGGGGATTGGCTGGGCCTGGAAGTTCCTGATGCTTGTGAAGTGTCTTTTCGCTGGGCCACACTGCCCCAGATGTGTGATAAGGACTCCCAGGTGGCTAGGAAAGAAAACCGTTCCAGAATGCCTTCATCAATACTCGCAGTGTGAGAAAAATCACATTTTTCTCACATAAAATACATCGTATCTTTACCAGCGAACTCAGAAAATTAAAACATCCAACTGCCGCCACCCAGACATCACCAATTTGGTGAGCACCTTCCAGATGCTTCTCTCTGCAGACAGGCAGGTGTCCTCCCCCTCACCCACGCTCGCAGGGCAATAAACATAAAGCTCTATGATCCCACGACATGTCCGTTCTGATACTTGCTGCGGAGATTTTCTCACGGCATGGGGGGGCCACAGCATCCCACCCGGCCACACGAGGTCCCACGGCCCCCGGCAACGCGGCCCCACAACAGCCAGCAGGCCACATGCACAATGTGACGAAGGCTCCTTGTCTTACAGGGGAATCAAAGCAAAAGGAGGACAAAAAAGTGCTCGAGGAGGAATCTGTTGCACTTACACGCATGTTGGTTCTCTTGGGTCTGGTAACCAGTGGCTTAAATGAAGTAAGGGACTGGGCAGCAAGCCAGGGCGGGCATGGGCACCCAAAGGCCCTCCGGGCCCAGCCTCCTCCCGGCCATCTGGTCAACCGTGGTCCGTGGCTGCGTGTTCCCTCTGGGCACTCGCATAAGGCTCTTGCATTCCACACGGGAAGGAGAGAAAAGGCAAGGGGAGAGGCAGCGGCCGGGCCTCTCCTACCCAGTGTTCCCCAAAGCCCCACTCGTGGCTCCATTGCCCCTCCCCCCATTCCTTGGCCACACTGGGTGAGGTCACTCGGGGCTGTGAAGGAGGCCGGGGGATGTGGCGGCTCAGGGGGGCAGGGTCTGGTGGTAAGGAGGGGGGAGAGCGGGTGTTACACAGGAAGCACATGGTCTCTGCCCGTCCACCCGATGGTTCCCCGAAACGCCCTCCATCACTAGCCAGAACAGTGGCTCCCCCAGAGACGTGCCCAGTGGGCTATCTGCCCTGGTCTTGCTGCTGCTCGGCGGCTCCTCATGTGCCGGCCAGCGCCACCCAAGACCGTCCCCACCTTCCCCACTCAGCGCTCCTGAGTCGACCTCAGAGGGTCCGTCCAGGCCCTGGAGCGCTTTGTCAGACCGGCCAGGGAACACATGCAAGACCGAAGCTCTAGATTTTACAGCCGAGTTTCTTCTAAAGCGATCATCAGCGCTGGCCTGACTCGGGTGGGACTGACACGAACACGCCGTTGCGGGAAACGAAGTCGAACAGCATTTGTGCAAAGCCGTATGGAATCGTGTAAAAGGCCCTGAAAACCTTCCCTCAGGCCCAGGAGCCCAGGGCCTACACAACACCTCCACCCCGTAAACATGTGTTGATTACGTGAATGGATTTGATGCCTCGGAATGTGCCCGAGGAGTAACGTGGCTACTTCAACATTTGCATGAGAGATGTTCGTGACTACGGTATTTGTGATAAAATACGGGAAACAAGCCCAAAGTCTAACAGGAGGAGGATAGTGAAATAAATCAGTGTACATCTATAAATGGAAAGATGAGTCATTTCAAATGTATTTATCGCATGGGGAAATGTACCATGTAAATTAAAAATTAGGATACAGAATATACTCTATTAGTAATGTATATAAGGTGTCTTAAAGATATTTTTATATCATTTCATATTGAGAAAAAAAAAATCCAAAATCTTTGCAGTGCCATCTCTCTGGGGAGTTACTGTCCACCTTTTCTCCGTAAGTATTTTTAAAAAGTTATTTTGAGGTACATTTTAAAGCTCAAAGTTTGCCATTGACTTTGAAGAAAGTGGTTGGGTTTTTTATTAATACATTTTTCACTCATACTAAAATCGGAGAAATGGTTGGTTAATTGATTAATAAATGCCTGAAACAAATTGATTAAATATTAGGAAGCATTCGGGCTAGGAGCAAACCATTCACTGAATCCGGAGGAACAAAGTTCAAAGAGACCTCTCACTGCTGACTCGGCACATAGAACCTTCTGGAAGGCCGAGCCACCCCAAGCCCCCTGGCCTCCTCCCCTCCCCTCGCAGGTGCTCTCCCTCTGCTCTCAGCCTACCCAGCCCTGCCCCCAGGGGGCCACAGCTGCTCCCCCTGCCTGCTCTTATCCGCCCCCCAACAATCCTGGGGATCTGATCTCACTACTACCTGCATGAGATCCCTTCACAGCTCCCCGCTGCTTTGCTTTGCTTTTTTTTTTTTTTTTTTAAGATTTATTTATTTATTTTAGAGAGAAAGCAGGGGGCGAGGGAGAGGGACAAGCAGACGCCCCACTGGGCACGGAGCCTTACCCTCGGCTGGATCCCACAACCTTGAGATCATGACCCGAGTCAAAGTCAAGAGCCCGATGCTTAACCAACTGAGCCTCCCAGGTGCCCCCCAACTCCCCACTTCTGACAGCAAGTCCGCAGTCCTAAAGGTGGTCCCCGCCGTCTGCTTGCTCTGCCCTCCTGTCTCCCCTCACCTGCTTCCTCGGGCCCCTCTGCCCTTCGAGGTCAGCTCCAGCCATGCCCCAGCGTCCTGGTCTCTCCTGCTCTGGACCTTGGCCCACCTTTCCCTCCCCCGGGAAGATCCGACTGTTTGTGGCTAGCTCCTTCTCATCTTTGGGGTCTCAGGTGAAACGCCCCTCTGAGAGACGTCCCCCACCCTAACCCCGGCTCCGTCAGGCCTCCCTGCACTTGCTCTTGGCACCCTCCCTGACCTTCGCTGTGCATTTCTCTGTGGGACAAGTCAGCCCCCTCCTGCGCCTCCCGTGGTTCTAGGGCCCTGGGTCTGTCTGGGTCTGGGATACTGGCCCCGCCAAATATCCCCTGACCCAAGGCGAGCATGAAGAAAGGAACAAACTCCAGCCGCCCACGGCCTGCCCCGCCCGGGCACTGGGGTGCCCGGGGTCCACTTGCACCGACCATGTTCTTCGGGTCGGTCTGCTTTTCAGGAAACTGAGCCTCGTCGTCACCGTGGAAGGTCTGAGGAGTGCCCCCTGCTGGACGCTCGGGGCCTCTCGGGACCACTCCCCACCAGGCCTGTCCCACAGCACCCCCCCACCCCCGGCCATCCCAAGGCACCCGGGTGGGACTTCGATCGTGGTGGGTGGGCCAGGGCCCCCATCCGGGGCTGGATGTGCGGCTCGCTCGGGCCTCCCTCACACGAGGCCCCCCGCCCGGCCCCCAGAGATGCCCCTGGTGGGTCCCGGCCTGCCCTCTGCTGTGGCCCGCACTGGGACAAAAGCCTTGCGCGCCCACCGGGCATGCCAGTGGTGAGCACAGAGCTCCAGTGGCCCCACGTCCCCGGCACGTTCCCAGAAACCGCGGAGCCGCCATTTATCACCGCGCCAGTCCAGCAAGGCGCCTAATTGGCCCATAAATGTGGCCCAATAACCGCACCTGACACCCAGAGACACTGCAGGCAATTAGCACTTATTTATTTGCATATGGTATTGACCAATCTCTAGCTCCTCTCACGTTCAAGATCTGTTTATTTGCAAAGCTGGAGGGACACGAACCTCATTGACCGCACTGGGCAGAGCCCACTACCAACACACACC